CAAAACAACTGGGAACTCGGAGAGAAAAAAAAAACCTCCGACTGTATTTGAACGTTCATCCAACTCGGAATCTCGGGCCTCTTTCTAGAGCACCGACTTTCCGACCTGAAGATCACTGACATCATGATTTGACCTCGTAATTTTCCGAGCTCCAAGTTGTTTTGAACGCGGCAACACGCACACAAATGCTAATGCATGATGCAATCAATCATCTTGAGGCATATAAACAGTGGTTGGCCCACATATGGAGGGGAGGCCATGTCCCAATGCTCTGAAATGGCTCCTTCCCTTTCCTGACAACCAATATGAGAGGACTAGGAAGGTGAAAACAAGATGGCGGTAACCTCACGAGACCAACTGATGGGCTAGCACCATGTCATGGATTTCTCCTGTGCGGTTCACTCCTATCAGATCAGGGGATACCAAGGATTGGTAGCCATAAAAAGAGTAGCCTATTTGCAGTGGTTCCCAAAGTTGTTGCACTGATGATCCATACAAATCATTTCTTGTGACCCACCAAGAAAACAAGAGCAATGTTTCTGACCAGGACCTGGTCTAAAGCCACAACCCAAATAAAAAGGATTTGGTAATAAACCACCAAGGGGTTCTAACCCACCATTACACAGTTCCATAGATAGGTTGGAGGGCTGTACTAGCCTTGTTCAATAGGGGGCGCTAGTAGTCTATAGGAGCCCTTCAGGGCATCCCATAGGGCCTGGAGTGGTGCTGGTCGGGTGTGTCTGTGGGGTTATGATATCTACTCTGGCAATGGAGGCCAGTCTACTAAATCTTAATACGCATGATCAGTCATGTTGCTAGAGCACAATGAGAACTTTCTTAATCAAGGACCTAGTAAAGCATCATAGCAATGGATGGCTGACAGAATGCATAGTGTTAAATGGGATCTAAGAAGTCCCGCTCGGCTAACCAACAGTGTACTATACAACACCCATGAGATTCAGGGGCTTGGATTGCACCTCATGGCCCCATACACCCACATGCTGCTTTACTTAACACTGCTGCAGTTAAAAACACACAATCATGTTTCAAAGATGGCAGATGTTCCACCCACACAAGCACTGACAAACACGTGCAATGTTAGAGTCATTGATACACACGCAGAATCCACTTACACCACATACCAGACACTCACACAGGCACTAAACACTGACACTTCCTTACATAGAAAACATTTGAAATGATCATAACCAGCATCTAAAACCAGCAACCAGTAAATAAACACAGACTTCTAAAATGAAAATAACCGTGAAGGTATTCAAGTGAATCACTTACCAGCTCTTATAATTTCTATCAGCCTGCCTCAAAACGCTGCAATAAGCACTGGCAGCAAACCGGACAGAGAATGATAATCCTAGATCATGACCTTGTGCTAGATAAACCCTGCTCTTAAATCCAGCCTCAGCAAAAAGCCCTCTTCATCACCAGGCATAATTCTCAACTGATATGGCAACCCGGGCCTGTGACCACCAGACAAGGACAGAACCAGAAGAGAGGTTGTGTCTATATTTAGTTATAGGTTTGCTATAGGACGACAACCCTCTATAACAAAGGGACATCTCCTTCACTCCTAAGGTGAATCATTCATTCTCAACAAGCTAAACAATATTCTCAACAAGTATCATATATCAGATTCAGTCAAACGTAGTAGTAGCATCAGTCCCTGAGTATTTGCATGGGGTAAAGATGGTGTAGAACACACAGATTGTCAGTCAGCCACTGTAGAATGTCCTAAAGGCGCACAGAAAGACATTAGCTAACTAGAGAAGACACCTGTTCAGTGAGTATGAGCTCACTATCAGGCTTGTTCTAGATTCTCCTGCTCGCTCGGTGCAGGCTGTTGGAGCAGAATGGATCCTCTATGATTTGGACAGAGCTGCAGAAATGGGTCAGAAATGGGTCAGCAAGCAGGACGTCCCCTGGCTCAGGGGCTGTGGCAGTGTAACGCACTGCATCCTGGGATAGAGGGCTGCGTTTTTGGCAGTCAGTGCAGTGATGTACAGATATATTATGAAGAGATGGGCAGTGCATCTGTCTGCTTCAGGCTCTCTTATTGAAGTTATTCACTGTGCAAATAGAGAAAGGACTTCCAGTCTTTTAAAAAACATTATCTGCTTCTAATGGCAGTCAGTCTATAGACAGCTGGTGATTGCTTTTAGATGGCAACGAACAACGGCTGAGCACAAGATACTTAAAATCATAGACTTACAGTGGGGAAAAAAAGTATTTTGTCAGCCACCAATTGTGCAAGTTCTCCCACTTAAAAAGATGAGGCCTGTAATTTTCATCACAGGTACACGTCAACTATGACAGACAAAATGAGAAAAAAAAAATCCAGATTTTTTTTTTCTTTTTCCCAGAAAATCACATTGTAGGATTTTTAATGAATTTATTTGCAAATTATGGTGGAAAATAAGTATTTGGTCAATAACAAAAGTTTCTCAATACTTTGTTATATACCCTTTGTTGGCAATGACACAGGTCAAACGTTTTCTGTAAGTCTTCACAAGGTTTTCACACACTGTTGCTGGTATTTCGGCCCATTCCTCCATGCAGATCTCCTCTAGAGCAGTGATGTTTTGGGGCTGTCGCTGGGCAACACAGACTTTCAACTCCCTCCAAAGATTTTCTATGAGGTTGAGATCTGGAGACTGGCTAGGCCACTCCAGGACCTTGAAATGCTTCTTACGAAGCCACTCCTTCGTTGCCCGGGCGGTGTGTTTGGGATCATTGTCATGCTGAAAGACCCAGCCACGTTTCATCTTCAATGCCCTTGCTGATGGAAGGAGGTTTTCACTCAAAATCTCACGATACATGGCCCCATTCATTCTTTCCTTTACACGGATCAGTCGTCCTGGTCCCTTTGCAGAAAAACAGCCCCAAAGCATGATGTTTCCACCCCCATGCTTCACAGTAGGTATGGTGTTCTTTGGATGCAACTCAGCATTCTTTGTCCTCCAAACACGACGAGTTGAGTTTTTACCAAAAAGTTCTATTTTCGTTTCATCTGACCATATGACATTCTCCCAATCCTCTTCTGGATCATCCAAATGCACTCTAGCAAACTTCAGACGGGCCTGGACATGTACTGGCTTAAGCAGGGGGACACGTCTGGCACTATAGGATTTGAGTCCCTGGCGGCGTAGTGTGTTACTGATGGTAGGCTTTGTTACTTTGGTCCCAGCTCTCTGCAGGTCATTCACTAGGTCCCCCCGTGTGGTTCTGGGATTTTTGCTCACCGTTCTTGTGATCATTTTGACCCCACGGGGTGAGATCTTGCGTGCAGCCCCAGATCGAGGGAGATTATCAGTGGTCTTGTATGTTTTCCATTTCCTAATAATTGCTCCCACAGTTGATTTCTTCAAACCAAGCTGCTTACCTATTGCATATTCAGTCTTCCCAGCCTGGTGCAGGTCTACAATTTTGTTTCTGGTGTCCTTTGACAGCTCTTTGGTCTTGGCCATAGTGGAGTTTGGAGTGTGACTGAGGTTGTGGACAGGTGTCTTTTAATACAGGTGCCATTAATACAGGTAACGAGTGGAGGACAGAGGAGCCACGTCTGTGAGAGCCAGAAATCTTGCTTGTTTGTAGGTGACCAAATACTTATTTTCCACCATAATTTGCAAATAAATTCATAAAAAATCCTACAATGTGATTTTCTGGATTTTTTTCCCTCAATTTGTCTGTCATAATTGACGTGTACCTATGATGAAAATTACAGGCCTCTCATCTTTTTAAGTGGGAGAACTTGCACAATTGGTGGCTGACTAAATACTTTTTTTCCCCACTGTAATTACTGTGCGTCAATAAAAATGATCAAATCAAAAAGTATTTTGTGACTTGATGCTTTGCTCCCAACAGTGTACTTAAATCCAAGCACAATATCACCATGGCTCTACTGAGTCCTGTTGATTGCACTGATCAAAGAAAATGCAGCTATACTATTGCATTAGCTATTTATGATTGGCTAGTTATAATACATCCGTATAATAGAAAGACCAGGATATAGAGATTATATTTGCCTCATAATATCAACCCTCAGCCACATCTCACTGTGACTGGACTATGAGGTGACTGGTTGATTGGGAGACAGTGGTAGAGGTTAACATTTGGCTACTTTCAACAACTAGGAAGGAGCAGCGACAGAGTATAGCACCACACAGCTAAGAACATAACTTAGCATCCACCACACAATATGCTCTTAAAAGCCTTGAACAAACAGTTATAATTATGATCCAGGGTTAAAATAACAATACAATATATAAACACTATAAATACAAATAACAAGGAATACTACAGCATAATAAGATCAATTATGGTTAACAATTTCTGTGGAATTTCTAGGTTTGTTGTTTTTAGCGCTTCAGCGTCCTATTGATGGGCCAATCAGCAGAGTAAGTGTCTTAACAGTGGCAGTATTCACTGACAAACTAGTTTAATAGACCTCAGAGTTCTACAGTTATTAAGCTTGATTTAGAGTGGCTCCCTAAAGGACAAGTGGCCATTAAGTTGTTATGGCACTATGTAGGATCTCATTGCGCGTCTACCACTATCTGATTAGGGACTGGAATGGCCTTCTATGGGGAGATGTATCGACCATTCACCACAACGCTCTGTGCTGTTTTATAATGTCCAGGCTCCAAACTCACAGTTCTACACCGAGCACAATGCAGCAGCCCAAAAGGCTAAGTGGTTTAGTTTGTGTGTGTGTTGTCAACCAGTATGGGCAACATGTCGCTGTGCATGGTGCAAAACAGCAAGCAGCAATTGAGAGTTTGAAAGCTGAAGAGGTTGCATTTAGTGCTTGCTATCCTTCACTCTACCCACGGGTGCTTCCTTCTGCATATCCTCCTCCTGCAGTCTTTCCTTCCCTCTCTTCTCCTCTCCCAGGCTTTATTTGGCCCAAATCCCCCCTTTTCTCCCTCTCTTTTAAATCCTTTGACAAACAGCACTCTTCATCTAGCAAACGACTAATTATGCCTTTATCCCACAACGTCTATGTTGTTCTGTGCTGCCATGCCGACTAACCCCTCCCCATCTGGTACTATAGCCCCTCCCCGGGCCACCAGAAGCTCCTCCTCCTGAATGGGTACTGCAAAGAGCTTCTCTGGGTCTCCCGTGGCGACAGAGGAAGCACCGCGATTGGTCCTTTCCAGCTTGCGGTGCATGCGCGGCTCCTGGGGAGAGTCCTTCTGGTCAAAGACGTCCCTGATTCGGTTGACGCAGACGTTAGCCGCTTCCCTGGTCTCCCTGGAGAGCTGTGATAGGCTGAGGAAGCCGTGCGGGAGGTCGTCCACCACACACAGAGTGACGGGCTGATCCACGTTCCTCAGGCGCTTGGCAAACATTACAGAGTCATCCAGCATGGGGTCTAAAGCACAGGCCTAGGGGGAGGGAGAGATAAACAACAGAGTCAAAGAGGGTCTTATAAGATCATGTAAAGAATTCTAATTGGTGGAAAAGTCCAGAATAGGATTGGGACAAGCCAGTCCTCAACTCCATTTCCCTCTCTCTCTCACCACTAGGTAGTCGTCCCTCTACCCTCCCTCTCTCCCACCACTAGGTAGTCCTCCCTCTACCCTCCCACTCTCTCTCCTCCCACCACCTCCCTCTCACCACTAGGTAGTCCTCCCTCTACCCTCCCTCCCACCACCTCCCTCTCACCACTAGGTGTATGGGGGGCAGTCCTCTCAGCATGCTGTCGGGTGCCAGTAGAGGAGACATGTAGGGGTTCCTGACGACAGGAGAGGTGGCCAGCTTCATCTCAGCCAGCTGCTCAGAGCGCAGCGGTTCGAAGCCCAGGGGGAACTCCCGAGGGTGCTCCAGCGCCACGCCCTCCTCCCCCTCAGGGGGCGGTATGGCAACAGAGGACAGAGCATCCGACATGGACACCACCTCCTCTTTGGAGAGGAAGAAGCTCACGTCTTCAGGCTGGAGGGGTACAGGAAAAATAGTTTACCATGGCAATACATAAGTTAACACTAGTCTAGGACCATGGGGGAAACCCGAGATGGAATGGATCATTGTATGGTTTTTCCCCACCAAAAAAGTTCTATTTTTTTTCATCTGACCATATACTTTTTCCCCCCAATCCTTTTTGGGATTCCAAAAGCCTTAAAAAACTTAGAGGGGGCCCTGGCATACGGTTGCGGGGGCACGCTGGACATGGTTTGACCCCTGGCGGCTAGGGGTTCTGAGGGTAGGCTTTTTTTACTTGCCCCAGCTTTTGCGGGTCTTTCACGGTCCCCCCGTGGGCGGGTTTTTTTGCTCACCGTTCTTGTGATCATTTCCCCCACGGGGTGAGATTTTTGCGTGCACCCCCAGATCGAGGGAGATTATCAGTGTCTTGTATTTTTTCCATTCCTAATAATGCCCCACAGTTGATTTTTTCAAACCAAGCGCTTCCCCTTTGCAATTCAGTCTTCCCCAGCCGGTGCGGTCTAAAATTTTTTTTTCGGGTGTCCTTGACCTTTTTTGGTTTGGCCTAGGGGGTTTGGGTTGTGATGGGTTGTGGCGGTGTCTTTTAATAAGGTCCCTTTAATCGGGAACGATGGAGGACAGGGGAGCCACGTCGTGAGAGCCGAAATCTGTTGTTGAAGGTGACCAAATATTTATTTTCCACCATAATTGCAAAAAAATTTCAAAAAATCCTACAATGTGTTTTTCTGTTTTTTTTTCCCTCAATTTGTCTGTCATAATTGACGTGTACCTTTTATGAAAATTACGGCCCTCTCACTTTTTAAGGGGGAGAATTGCACAATTGGGTGGGACTAAAACTTTTTTTCCCCCGTAATTACTGTGGTAAATAAAAATGTCAAATCAAAAAGTTTTTGTGACTTGTCTTTGCTCCCCAACAGTGTATTTTAAATCACAAAATATCCCCATGCTCTTGAGTCCTGTTGATTGAAAAGTCAAAGAAATGCGCTATACTTTGCTAGTTTTTTGAGGGGCTAGTTAAAAATCCGTAAAATAAAAAGCCCCAGGATTAGAGTTTAATTTTCCCTAAATATCAACCCCAGCCCCATCTCACGTGACGGACTATGGGTGACGGGTTGTTTGGGGAGCAGGGGTAGGGGAACTTTTGGCTACTTCAAAAAAACTGGGAGACAAACAGAGTAAGCACCACACAGCTAAGAAAAATAATTTAGATCCCCCCACACAATAGTTTAAAACCCTTTTGAACAAACAGTTAAAATTTATGATCCAGGGTTTTTTAAAAACAATAAAAATTATAAACACAAAATCCCAAATAAAAGGGAATATAAAGAATAGATCAATTATGGTTAAAAAATTTTGTGGAAATTTTCTAGGTTTTTTGTTTTTAGCGCTTCAGCGCCCTTTTGAGGGGCCCATCAGCAAGTAGTGTCTAACGTGGCAGATCACTGAAAAATAGTTTAATAGACCTCAGAGTTCTACAGTTTTTTTAAAGCTTGTTTTAGAGTGGCTCCCAAAGGAAAGGGGTTTTTAAGTTGTTATGGCCCAGTGGGTTTCATTGGCGTCTCCACTATCTGTTTAGGGATGGAAGGCCCCCTTCTATGGGGGGATGTATCGCCTTTTCCCCAAAACCCCTTGGGGTTTTTTTAAAATTGCCGGGCCCCCAAATCCAGTTTACCCCGAGCACAATGCAGCAGCCCAAAAAGGCTAGGGTTTTTAGTTTTTTGGTGTGTTTTTAACCTAGGGGAACCCCGTCGCGTGCAGGTGCAAAACGAAGCACAATTGAGATTTAAAAGCTGAAGAGGTGTTTTTAGTGTTGATCTTCCCCCTCTACCCCGGGGCTTCCTTCTGCTTTTTCCCCTCCGCAGTCTTTTTTCCCTCTCTTCCCTCCCCCAGGTTTTTTGGGGCCCAACCCCCCCTTTTCTCCTCTTTTTTAAATCCTTTGAAAAACAGCCTCTTATCTAGCAAACGACAAATTATCCTTTACCCCACAACCCATTTTGTTTGTGTCCCATGCCGACAAACCCCTCCCCCTTGGTATATAGCCCCCCCCCGGGCCACCAGAATTCCTCCCCCAAGGGGTACTGAAAAGGCTCTCTGGGTCCCCCGGGGGAAAAAAGGAAGCCCCCGGTTTGGCCCTTTTCCAGTTTGGGGTGCTGCGCGGCCCCGGGGGGAGTTTTGGTCAAAGACGTCCCTATTCTTTGCGAGACGTTACCCGTTCCCGGGTCTCCCTGGAAGCTGTGTGGCTGAGGAAGCCGTGCGGGAGGTCGTCCCCCAACAGAGTGACGGGCTGACCCACGTTCCTCAGGCGTTTGGCAAACTTTACAGAGTATCCAGCGGGGGTCAAAGCACAGGCCCCTGGGGGAGGGAGAGATAAACAAAAAGGTCAAAGAGGGTCTTAAAGATCAGTAAAGAATTCTAATGGTGGAAAATCCAGAAAATTGGAAAAGCCAGTCCTCAACTCCATTTCCCCTCTTCTCACCATAGGTAGTCGCCCCTTAAACCCCCCCTCTCTCCCCCCACTGGGTGTCCCCCCTCTACCCTCCCATTTTCCTCCTCCCCCACCCCCCTCTCACCACTAGGTAGTCCCCCTTACCCCCCCTCCCCCCACCCCCCTACCACAGGTGTAGGGGGGGGCAGTCCTTAGATGCTGGGGGGTGCCAGTAGGAGACAGTGGGGGTTCCTGACGCAGAGAGGGGCCGTTCATCTCGCCAGTGCCGGGAGCGCAGCGGTTCAAAGCCCGGGGGAAAAACCCCGAGGGTGCTCCACCCCACGCCCTCCCCCCCCAGGGGGGGGTAGGCAAAAGGGAAAAGCATCCGACATGGAACCACTCCTTTTGGAGAGGAAGAATACGTCTTAGGCGGGGGGGGTACAGGAAAAATAGTTTACCATGGCAACTAATTAAACACTAGTTAGGACCAGGACTGGGGAAAACCTGATGTTTTGGTACGGATATATGATTGCTTTCCTTTGGGCCAACACTTTTTTTAAGAATCTAAAAGCCTCAAGTAGTTTTTTTCCATTTAAATCCGGGAAAACAAACATTACTTTTTCATCTGAGCAAATGACTTTCAATTTCCCGAGACAGAGGCTATACAGACTGGTTTTAAAGAAAAACACAGGGATTTCCCTTACTGAAAACTAGGGGGTTTACACTCGAGATCGCCTCCATCCCTCCCCCCTCCCCCCCATTTAATCTGTGGAAGAGGAAACAAGACAAGCAGCTTGGTCACCATCTATTTGCGTAAGTTAGTCAGAGAGGCTTAGTTTAGACAAACGCCTACAATTCAGTGACAAGTGTGTGAAGTGGTTGTAAAAGCAGTAAGCATGAAGCTGCTACACTGATCTGAAGTCAGTTTAAACACCCCCCCACCCCCAAATGGTTATGGTTAGGATTTGGGGAGGGTAATCTGATCCTAGATCTGTTGTTAAGGGCAACTCAGGGATTATCGTACCGTGCGCTCGGGGAACACCATTGCATTGTGGGCAGGAGTGGTGGGGGCAGCAGCGGGGGTGTTGTTGGCGTGGGCTGCCAGGTCCTGGCAGGTGTGGCTCTTCAGAGACTCTCTCCTCAGGGAGAAGTCAGAGGGCTGCTCAGGGGGGTCCGAGTGGGGCGAGCTGATGGACGCCTCAGACACACTCTTCCTCACTGACGAAGATGTGTCTGAAGAAGAGAGAGAAGAGAAAGAGTAATCAACAAACCAAAATAAGACAGAGTGAGACATCAGACTGAGGCCATTATGGAACAGGGAAACATCAATGAAGACATATGATTGGAGGACGGTGATAAGAGGCGGGAGTGAGGGACGTGTGGTTATCAGGAGATGGATATTTAAAGCTAAAATCGTTAGTTACTACACTCATTTTTGGACTTATAAATTAATCATATACACCCATTGATTGTTGAAGAATATAACTTTAAAAATGCCTCATGAGCTTAGTTCAACTGTCATACCCCATCAGAACCCCAAATATAATCTTATTTTACCCCAATGTTTGTAAACAATATAAATGTAAACTAACACTGTATAGCTTTAAAACACGGTTAAAACAACCATTTTGATCACATGGATGGTCAGTCCTGGCATCCATAGCTGTCTACAGTATGAACTTGAGTGGTTACATTGCTCCAGGCCCATCCCTCAGCTTTTTACCAAAACAGAGGCGGGGTGTCCTCTTTGTTATCGTTTCAACTGCAGATTCTAGCTTTAAGCAATAATGGTGTCATTACGATAAGATCTCCCCGTCACAACACAGCTGTAAGCGGTGTCATGGCTTGTCTGATCTCAAAGCTGTACTCACTGAGCTCTTTTATTAATAATGAACTCCCCTCATCATAGCCTTTAATAATGTACACCCCCCAATGACACAGTCATTAGTCTGGCCCACAGCTGCTGGGTGTCAGCTAACATGGTGACGCCTGGAATAGTCTGCTTACAGCGGGGTTTCAACACAATTAGTGGTCAGAGCCTAACCAGTCAATTGATATGGATGGGTGAGGGTGTGACGTAACAGGATGGTGGCCATGGGTGATGACTGGTTAATTAGACGTTAACTGTGGATATCAATTTCAATAAAATCTTCCATACTGTATGTACACACATGGCCCTTCCGGTAATAGGGAAATATTATTTCACCTCACACTCCAAGATGCATGAACACAAGTACATACAGAGACACACACACCCTCTCACCACAAGACACACACCCCAGACACACACACTGGTGTACCTACCTGTTGATGCCATGGCAACAGCTCTGTTGGGGTCCAGTATGGAGTGGATCCAGTTGGAAGCTCCCTGTTTGAAGTCTCTGAGCAGCAGGGCTGTGTCTCTCCTCACCATGCTCAGAGTACTCACCTTCTCCACCTGCTTCTCAGCCTGGGGCTCCTCACCTAGGGGAGAGAGGATGGGAAGGGAGGTAGGGAGGAAATTAGTTACCCGTCCTTCACCAGCATTGAATGCCATGCACAAACAAGAACACACACTATGCTGAGGGGCAGCAAACCATCTCTGCTCCCTCTTACACACAGTTTTACCTGCGTAGGCGCTGAGGCACCTGGACAGCACACTGAGGGGCAGCAGGGGGTCGAAAAGAGTGAGCAGGCGGGAGGGCGAGGCGTAGGCGGTGAGCAGGATGGCAGGGTAGGCAGCTACGATGCCATCAGGCATCCGCACACCGTGAGACGCAGCGCGCATCGATGTGGTAATACACAGGTTACCACCAGCACTGTCACCGGCCAGACACACATTCTCCCCTGTCCAACCTGAGAGAGAGAAGGGGAGTCACAGAGTCAGTAGATTGAGGCAAGAGAGTGAGAGAAGGGGACAAAGTGAGAGAGAAACAGAAAAGCTGACTATAAGTGAGAGTCCTTATAACACTTTCAAGTGATCTGCATGTGATCTCCCACTCTCTGTACCCGAGTCTATATGGGGCAATGGAGGGGCTGGTTGTTGATATGAAAGTGTTTCATATTTGAGACATAAGTTGAGACTATGGCCTTCAGTTGACTGAGTTCCAAGCTAACCAGTCTTTAGCTTTCTGTCATAATAACAATCAATTAAGTACCAGGAAGTACCCATAGTAAATATTGAGATCATTGGGAATAAATCCCATCTGAAAAAGCAGGTCTGTCTATTTTATATACAGCATCAAAATGTTGTCTAAGACATTTTCCCCTCGGGACATTAAGGATAATTATATTTTATGATAAAGTGGTAGTAGTGTGTTGTCCTACCCAGCAGGTGGTGGTTCTTGATGGCCCAGCAGTAGGCATAGAAGCAGTCCTCCAGGGCCCTGGGGAAGGGAGCTTCAGGGGCCAGAGAGTAATCCACAGACAGGATGGGCACACCCAGGTCCTGAGACCAGCTCTTCAGATACGGCTGGAAAAAAGAGAGGGGGAGAATGGAGGAGAAAGGAGTGAGTTTACTGTAGACGGTGCATCCCCCTACCATTAAATAGGCAGGGCAGGCAGAGTGGTGTTTGCAGTTCAGGAGGTGGTGTTGGGAAGGATAGGAGAGAGGTCCTGTATCAGATTCCCAGCTTGCAGGTTCTGTATTGGTGAACTACAAACCCAACCGTACACTGCCTAACTCCAGTGGCAGCTTGGTAATTCTGTTATGAAAATACCAGGTATGTGCACTGTGCTCACAAATGCAACATGACAACCTTGCTTTGCTCTCACTAAAACAGTGTTGGTGTTAGCCTCTTGTTGCTATGCAATTTGAAGTCATGGTAGCTAAGTGCTTAGGATTCTTAGAAACATACTTTCCAGATCAGACATCCTTAGAATACTTGCTTTTATATTATAACCTTGTAAGGTCATCAAGTACTTAGCTAGGTAAGTGAGAGGTCAGAGTGCGTACATCCGACAATAAATCTCATCTGACAATATTAGTCTACCCTCTCTCCTGTCGCTCCACCGCCGCTCCTCCTCTTCTCTCTAAGCATCAGTGACAGTGTCAGTAGTGACAGCTCCGCCTCTCTAACCAATACACAGAGTGCCTCACCTCAGCGGCCCATGACTGGATGTGACCACATCACACTGCCAAACACCACCTCAACACCATCCCCGGGAATCTGCCCTGCACTCTTAAAGCCACGCTGTCATAATGGATCACAGTCTGGCACCGCTGACGTGTGGTGTGGCGTGTGTGTGCGTGTCAATTTAAACGATCGTCATTGTCAGTACATGATGCGTTTTGACACCCGTCAGCGGCCCCCATAGAGAGAGATTAATGCCTACAGAACAACAGGCTGCGTCTAAACTGTCCTGAGGAGAGGCGTGTGTGGAAAATATGCCCACAACAGGGACACACACACCTATCCATAACCATGCAGATCATCTCCTACTGCAGGGATTACTGGGAGTAGTAGTTCCACTGTGGTTAATCTGCTTCTGGGCACCTCTGTCACACACACACTTGAGTGATTAAGTTGTGGCCCATCCATTACTGGGGGTCTGGATCAATGGGGTGCTGAGAGGAGGGACACCACAGGCTTCTTCCCTCACACAAACAGCTCCCTCTGAGAGATTGAGAGAGAGAGTGTGCAGGAGAGCTTCTGCCCTTAGACACTATCCATCTTCCTGAACACTTCAGGAGGAGAGGAGGAAGGAGGGGGAGTGAAGGTGGCAGGAGAGAGAGAAAAGTGAAGAATGGAGAGAAGAGAGGAGGGACACCACAGGCTCCTGCCCTCACAGACTCCATCCATCTCCCCACTGGCCAGGGGAAAGAGTGGGTAAAGTGAAGGAGGGAGGAGAGAGAAAGGAACGTCGTGGGGAAAGGAAAGCAAAGAGCAGAGGTGGATTACAAAAATGAGAGAAGAGGTCATTAGGACAAAGGAGAGTAGAGAACAAACGGAATAATGATCAGAAAGGAGGAAAGCTTAAAGGACAGGGTTAGAGGAGAGAGAAGAGAGCCTAGAGCAGGGAGATCACACAGACACACATCTTCCATTAGGGCCTATGGAATATAAAGCTATAATAACTTAATGCAGAGTTCTCAGCTAATTCAACATGACAGCCTTGTTCCTCCTCAGATCACTTCCTACAGCCTCTGGTTGCTAGGCTATTGGAGATCAAGGGACTGCCAGTCCACTCTGGTTTCATGGTGACGCATCTCAGTGGTTTAAAGTAGCCTGCTGGTTATATAATACAGACCCGTCTCATCTGAGGCTGAGCTCGGAGATGACCACTTCAAGAGGACAGGGGGAGAGAGAGAGGAGATGGAATGAGGAGGGAGAGGAGAGAGGAGAGACCGACAGAATAGGAAGAGGGGGGCTGGCCTGCAACCAATCACTGGATAATAGTGATATAAATACATGTGTCCATCAACCCTGTTGGATTAATTAAACAGTCATAAGTAGGAACGGCTCATTACAGGGAAGCCATGGAGAGAAAACACAATAATTCCGAACCCGTGACGGTCAATTCCTCCCGAGAGAGAGAGGAGAGAGAAGGTGTTCTTACCTCGTGAGATTTGGAGGTCTGGGCCACAAAGCCTCCTCCGTGGTAGTGTACCAGGAGCCAGCGGGAAGGGGGGCTTCGCTTGGTCTTCATTCCCAGAGACAGGGAGATAGGAACCCCCTCAGAACGAGACAGGGACAGCAATGCCTCGCTGTCCTACAGAGGGAGGGAGACCGAGACAGCCAAAGAATCACTATCACAAAGCTAGAAAAAGTCTATTTTCACTTCAATTGCTACAGATGTTGATTTGTCTGTGTGCTTTCCAGCGCTCTGTAGAACAATCCCTTCAGTCAGGATTAGCTGTGTGGTTTGTTCTCTGCTTCTGGATGTCTTTCCAGCTCCACCACAAACACACTATCCTCATTCCCATTTATTAACATTAGCAGGGAACAGCAGAGAGGCTTTCGCTTGTGTTCTCCACATAAAAAAAACAGCAGCTCTTTGACTGAGCAGAATCAATGAGTGAGTTGAAAGTGTTGGCTGATATCATGTCTGGTTTAACGCCAGACTACAGATGCTCAGCTCTGCTGTTCAATACCATCCCAAATAAATAAATATATATGTGTGTGTGCGCGTAAGAGGATTTAAAGGGATTAAGAGCCAAGGATGAGACGAAAAGACGAGACACTGTCGTTTACTACAGCTGCTCTCAGACAAAGGAAACGCAAACTAAAAGAATCCCTTGATGTTAAAGAATTTCACGCAGGAAGAGGCTTCTCAATAGCTGATGAAAGCAGCAGCTTAAAGCCAATTAATTTGGGAAATATACACTGTCAGACTGCTGCTGTCAAAGGTTGTACAGCTTCAGCAGCACATTTTGATATACCAGTTAAAGGTTCTGCGTGTCTGTGTGAGATTTGAAAAGTTAACAGTGAACTTTGATCTAGAATCAGCACGAGATCAGCTGAGACTGGAATGCAACCAGTATGAGACCAGGGTTGTATTCACTAGGAACCAAAGAACGAAACGGGACCTACCCGAATTTGTCCAATACAAACTTGTTTATGTTGCAAAATGTTTTCTGTTTGGAGTAAATGTTGCAAAATGTTTTGGACTATGAGTCTAACCTTGATTTGCATTTTGATAACATATCTACAGTATTTCACTTTTTTTATGTGTATAGTATTGCTTACTAGGTGTTGTCCAATCAATCAAATTTTATTTACAAAGCCCTTTTTTACATCAGCAGATGTCACAAAGTGCTTATACAGAAACCCAGCCTAAAACCCCAAACAGCAAGCAATGCTGACGTAGAAGCACGGTGGCTAGGAAAAACTCCCTAGAAAGGCAGAAACCTAGGAAGAAACCTAGAGAGGAACCAGGCTCTGAGGGGTGGCCAGTCCCCTTCTGGCTGTGTCGGGTGGAGATTATAACAGTACATGGCCATTAAGGCAAGATTTTTCTCCAAGATGTTCAAACGTTCATAGATGACCAGCAGGGTCAAATAATAATCACAGTGGTTGTAAAGGTTGCAACAGGTCAGTACATCAGGAGTAAATGTCACTTGGCTTTTCATAGCTGGGCATTTAGAGGTTGAAATAGCAGGTGGTGTAGCGAGAGAGTGTTGAAAACAGCAGGTCTGGGACAAGGTAGCACGTCCGGTGAACAGGTCAGGGTTCCATAGCCGCAGGCAGAAGAGTGGAAACTGGAGCAGCAGCACGACCAGGTGGACTGGGGACAGCAAGGAGTCATCAGGCCAGGTAGTCCTGAGGCATGGTCCTAGGGCTCAGGTCCTCCGGGATGGGAGGGAGAGAGAGAATTAGAGGGAGCATACTTCAATTCACACAGGACACCGGATAAGACGGGAGAATAACACCAGATATAACAGACTGACCCTAGCCCCCCGGCACATAGACTATTGCAGCATAGATACTGGACGGAGACACTGTGGCCCCGTCCGACGATACCCCAGGCAGGGCCAACCAGGCAGGATATAACCCCGCCCACTTTGCCAAAGCACAGCCCCCACACCACCAGAGGGATGTCAACAGACCACCAACCTATTACCCTGAGACAAGGCTGAGTATATCCCACGAAGATCTCCTCCACTGCACGAGCCCGAGGGAGCGACAAACTGGACAGGAAGATCACATCAGTGACTCAACCCACTCAAGTGATGCACCCCTCCTAGGGACGGCATGGAAAGCACCAGTAAGCCAGTGACTCAGCCCCCGTAATAGGGTCAGAGACAGAGAATCCCAATGGAGAGACAGGAACCGGCCAGGCAGAGACAGAAAGGGTGGTTTGTCGCTCCAGTGCCTTTCCGTTCACCTTCGCACCCCTGGGCCAGACTACACTCAATCATAGGACCTACTGAAGAGATGAGTCTTCAATAAAGATTTAAAGGTTGAGACCGAGTCTGCGTCTCTCACATAGATAGGCAGACCATTCCATAAAAATGGAGCTCTATAGGAGAAAGCCCTGCCTCCAGCTGTTTGCTTAGAAATTCTTGGTACAATAAGGAGGCCTGCGTCTTGTGACCGTAGCGTACGTGTAGGTACGTACGGCAGGACCAAATCGAGTAATATGATAAAACAATTTGGTTCTAGTCAAGATTCTAGCAGCCGTGTTTAACACTAACTGAAGTTTATTTAGTGCTTTATCCGGGTAGCCGGAGAGTAGAGCATTTCAGTATTCTAATCTAGAAGTGACAAAAGCATGTATTAGCTTTTCTGCATCATTTTTGGACAAAAAGTTTCTGATTTTTGCAACGTTACGAAGATGGAAAAAAGCTGTCCTTGAAGTATTCTTGATATGTTCGTCAAAATAGAGATCAGGGTTCAGAGTAACGCAGAGGTCCTTCAGTTTTTTTTTTGATGACTGTACAACCATCAAGATTAATTGTCAGATCCAACAGAAGATCTCTTTGTTTCTTGGGACCTAGAACTAGCATCTCTGTTTTGTCCGAGTTTAAAAGTAAAACATTTGCCGCCATCCACTTCCTTATGTCTGAAACACATGCTTCCAGGGTAGGCAATTTTGGGGCTTCACCATGTTTCATCGAAATGTAGAGCTGTGTGCCGTCCGCATAGCAATGAAAGTTAACATTGTGTTTCCAAATGATATCCCCAAGAGGTAAAAATATATAGTGAAAACAATAGTGGTCGTAAAACGGAACCTTGAGGAACACAAACTTACCATTGATTTGTCAGAGGACAAACCATCCACAGAGACGAACTGATATCTTTCCGACAGATAAGATCTAAACCAGGCAAGAACCATGTACACCAATTAAGGTTTCCAATCTCTCCAAAAGAATGTGGTGATCAATGGTGTCAAAAGCAGCACTAAGGTCTAGGAGCACGAAGACAGATGCAGAGCCTTGGTCTGACGCCATTAAAAGGTAATTTACCACCTTCACGAGTGCGGTCAGTGCTATGATGGGGTCCAAAACCAGACAAGCATTTCATATACATTTTGTGTCTTCAGGAAGGCAGTGAGTTGCTGCACAACAGCTTTTTCTACAAATGTTGGAGGGGAATGGGAGATTCAATATAGGCAGATAGTTTTTTTTACATTTTCTGGGTCAAGGTTTGGCTTTTTCAAGAGAGGCTTTATTACTGCCACTTTTAGTGAGTTTGGTACACATCCAGTGGATAGGGAGCCATTTATTATATTTAACATAGGAGGGCCAAGCACGGAAGTAGCTCTTTCAGTAGTTTTAGTTGGAATAGGGTCCAGTATGCAGCTTGAAGGTTTAGAGGCCATGACTATTTCATGAATGTGTCAAGAGATATAGGGTTAAAAAACTTGAGTGTCTCCATTGATCCTAGGTCCTGGCAGTTTTGTGCAGACTCAGGACAGCTGAGCTTTGGAGAAATACGCAGATTCAAAGAGGAGTCTAATTTGCTTTCTAATGATCACGATCTTTTCATCGAAGAAGTTCATGAATTTATCACTGCTGAAGTGAAAGGCATCCTCTCTTGGGGTACGCTACTTTTTAGTTAGCTTTCGACAGTACCAAGGGTTATGAGGAAAAACATTTAGATCCACAATATTTATTCCACGGGACAAAACTAGATCGAAGGTATGACTGTGGCAATGAGTAGTTCCGGAGACATGTTGGAGAAAACCCACTGAGTCGATTATGGCGCCGAAAGCCTTTTGGAGTGGGTCTGTGGACTTTTCCATGTGAATATTAAAGTCACCAAAAATTAGAATATTATCTGCCATGACTACAAGGTCCGATAGGAATTCAGGGAACTCAGTGAGGAACTCTGTATACGGCCCAGGAGGCCTGTAAACTGTAGCTATAAAAAGTGATTGAGTAGGCTGCATAGACTTCATGTCCAGAAGCTAATGTCACTAGTGTAACCAGGAGGAGAGGCCTCATTTAACACAGTAAATTCATCAGTTTTTAACAAAGCAAATTTGAGGAATAGGCTGCCGAAGTTCCATCAACATATTGACTGTTGTACTCGCGCTGCTAAAATCCTTGACCATTGCTATTCGAACTTCCGGTATGGTTATAAGGCCCTCCCCCGCCCTCCTTTCGGCAAATCTGACCACGACTCCATTTTGCTCCTCCCTTCCTATAGGCAGAAACTCAAAACAGGAAGTACCCGTGCTAAGGACTATTCAACGCTGGTCTGACCAATAGGAATCCACACTTGAAGATTGTTTTTATCACGCGGAATGGGATATGTTCCGGGTAGCTTGCAAAAATAATTTTGACAAATACACTGAAACGGTGACTGTGTTTATAGGGAAGTGTATAGGTGATGTTGTGCCCACTGTGACTATCAAAACCTACCCTAACCAGAAACCGTGGATAGATGGCAGCATTCGCGCAAAACTGAAAGCGCGAACCACCGCATTTAACCATGACAAGGTGACTGGGAATATGGCAGAATACAAACAGTGTAGCTACTCACCCCAAGGCAATTAAACTGGCAAAACATCAGTAGAGAGACAAAGTGGAGTCGCAATTCAACGGCTCAGACACGAGACGTATGTGGCAGGGTCTACAGACAATCACAGGCCACAAAAAGAAAACCAGCCACGTCGCCGACACAGATGTCTCGCTTCCAGACAAGCTACACACCTTCTTCGCCCGCTTTGAGGAAAACACAGTGCCACCGACGAGGCCCACTACCAAGGACTGTGGCCTCTCCTTCTCCATGGCCGACATGAATAAGACATTTAAGCATGTTATC